AAAATCGGATCCAGGGAACCCCCAAATTCCCCCAAACTCCGCAGAATTCCCGGATTTCCGCAGAATTCCCGGATTTCCGCAGAATTCCCGCATTTCCCTCACCCATGTACTCGTCCACCTGGATCAATCCGTCCCCGTTCTGATCCAGCTCCTCGATCGTCTCCTGGGAAACGCAAAAATTCCCAAAATTCCTAAAAATTCCTCAAAAGAATTCCCAAAATTCCTCCAAAAGAATTCCCAAAATTCCTCCAAAGTTCCTCCCAGAAATTCCCAAAGTTCCTCCAAAAAAATTCCCAAAATTCCTCCAAAAAATTCCCAAAATTCCTCAAAAAAATCCCAAAATTCCTCAAAAAAATTCCCAAAATTCCTCCAAAATTCCTCCCAAAAATTCCCAAAATTCCTCCCAAAAATTCCCAAAATTCCTCCCAAAAATTCCCAAAATTCCTCCAAAAAATTCCCAAAATTCCTCCAAAGTTCCTCCCAAAAATTCCCAAAATTCCTCCCAAAAATTCCCAAAATTCCTCCAAAGTTCCTCCAAAAAATTCCCAAAATTCCTCCCAAAAATTCCCAAAATTCCTCCCAAAAATTCCCAAAATTCCTCCAAAGTTCCTCCCAAAAATTCCCAAAATTCCTCCCAAAAATTCCCAAAATTCCTCCAAAATTCCTCCCAAAAATTCCCAAAATTCCTCCCAAAAATTCCCAAAATTCCTCCCAAAAATTCCCAAAATTCCTCCCAAAAATTCCCAAAATTCCTCCCAAAAATTCCCAAAATTCCTCCCAAAAATTCCCAAAATTCCTCCCAAAAATTCCCAAAATTCCTCCAAAGTTCCTCCCAAAAATTCCCAAAATTCCTCAAAAAAAATTCCCAAAATTCCTCCAAAATTCCTCCCAAAAATTCCCAAAATTCCTCCAAAATTCCTCCCAAAGATTCCCAAAATTCCTCCAAAAAATTCCCAAAATTCCTCCAAAAAATCCCAAAATTCCTCAAAAAAATTCCCAAAATTCCTCCAAAGTTCCTCCCAAAAATTCCCAAAATTCCTCCCAAAAATTCCCAAAATTCCTCAAAAAAATTCCCAAAATTCCTCCAAAAAATTCCCAAAATTCCTCAAAAGAATTCCCAAAATTCCCCCCCAAAATCCCAATTTTGGACCATTTTGAGCCGGATTTTCACCGTTCCAGGCAGGAATTTTTTGGGAATTTTGGGAATTCCGGGAATTTTGGGAATTCCGGGATGGCCTGACCTGAGCCACGAGCTCCAGGCCTCCCAAAACCACCCCAAAATCACCCAAAAAACCCCAAAAATCCCATTTTTTGACCATTTTGAGCCGGATTTTCGCCGTTCCAGGCAGGAATTTTTTGGGAATTCCGGGAATTCCGGGAATTTTGGGAATTCCGGGATGGCCTGACCTGAGCCACGAGCTCCAGGCCTCCCAAAACCACCCCAAAATCCCCCAAAAAACCCCAAAAATCCCAATTTTTGACCATTTTGAGCCGGATTTTCGCCGTTCCAGGCAGGAATTTTTTGGGATTTTTGGGAATTCCGGGAATTCCGGGAATTCCGGGATGGCCTGACCTGAGCCACGAGCTCCAGAAGGGCTCCAAGTCCCCAAAAATCCCCCAAAATCCCCCAAAAATCCCATTTTTGGACCATTTTGAGCCGGATTTTCACCGTTCCAGGCAGGAATTTTTTGGGAATTTTGGGAATTCCGGGAATTTTGGGAATTCCGGGATGGCCTGACCTGAGCCACGAGCTCCAGGCCTCCCAAAACCACCCCAAAATCACCCAAAAAACCCCAAAAATCCCATTTTTTGACCATTTTGAGCCGGATTTTCGCCGTTCCAGGCAGGAATTTTTTGGGAATTCCGGGAATTCCGGGAATTCCGGGATGGCCTGACCTGAGCCACGAGCTCCAGAAGGGCTCCAAGTCCCCAAAAATCCCCCAAAATCCCCCAAAAATCCCATTTTTTGACCATTTTGAGCCGGATTTTCGCCGTTCCAGGCAGGAATTTTTTGGGAATTCCGGGAATTCCGGGAATTCCGGGAATTCCGGGATGGCCTGACCTGAGCCACGAGGTGCAGGAGGTGCGGGAAATCCTCGGGATGCAGGAAAGCCTCGAGCTCCTCCCCGCGGAGGCGCCGGTCGCCGTCGGCGTCGGCCGCCTGGAAACGGAGCCGGGAACGGAGCAGGAGGCGCCGGTGGGAGCCGCCAAAATCCTCTGGAATTCCGGGAAAAAAAATAAAATGGGAATTCTGGGATTCCGGAGAGGGGTTAGAGATGGGGGAGGGGGAGCTGGGGGAAATTTGGGGGGAAATTGGGGGAAATTTGGGGGGAAAAAGGGAAAAAGAGAGAGGAAAAATAGGAAAGAATTGGGAAAAATTTGGGGGAAAATTGGGAAAAATTGGGAAAAAATTGGGAGAAATTGGGGAGAATTTGGGGAAAAATTGGGAAAAATTTGGGGGGAAATTGGGGAAAAATTGGGAGAAATTTGGGGGAAAATTTGGGAGAAATTGGGGGAAAATTTGGGGAAAAATTGGGAAAAATTTGGGGGAAAATTGGGAAGAAAATGGGGAGAATTGGGAAAAATTGGGGGAAAATTGGGGGAAAAATTGGGAAAAAATTTGGGGGAAATTGGGGAAAAATTGGGAGAAATTGGGGGAAAATTTGGGGGAAAAATGGGAAAAATTTGGGGGAAAATTGGGAAGAAATTGGGGAGAATTGGGAAAAATTTGGAAGAAATTGGGGAAATTTGGGAGAAAATTTGGGGAAAAATTGGGGAAATTTGGGGGAAAATTTGGGGAAAATTGAGAAGAAATTGGGAAAAATTTGGGGGAAAAATTGGGGAAAATTGAGGGAAAATTGGGAAAAATTGGGAAGAAAATTGGGAAAAAATTGGGGAAAAAATGGGGAAAATTTGAGGGAAAATTTGAAGGAAAATTGGGAGAAATTGAGAGAAAGTTGGGGAAAATTGGAGAAAATTCTGGGGGAAAAAGTTGGAAAAAATTGGGGGAAAATTGGAGAAAAATTAGGGAAGAATTGGGAAAAAATTGGGGGAAAAATTGGGAAAATTTGGGGAAAAAAATCCCCAAGAAAATACAAAAAACCCTCCCAAAATCCTCAAAAATTTAAAAAAAATCCCAAAAAATCCCCAAAAAAATCCCCCAAAAACTCCCAAAAAATCCCAAAAAATTCCAAAAAAAATCCCCCAAATCCTCAAAAAAATCGCCAAAAACTCCCAAAAACTCCCAAAAAAATCCCCAAAAAAATCCCCAAAAAATCCCCCAAATCCTCAAAAAAATCCCCAAAAACTCCCAAAAAATTCCAAAAAAAATCCCCCAAATCCTCAAAAAAATCCCCAAAAACTCCCAAAAAATCCCAAAAAAATCCCCAAAAAAATCCCCAAAAAATCCCCAAAAAATCCCCAAAAAATCCAAAAAAATCCCCAAAAAATCCAAAAAAATCCCCAAAAAATCCAAAAAAATCCCCAAAAAATCAAAAAAAATCCCCAAAAAAATCCCCAAAAACTCCCAAAAAATCCCAAAAAAAATCCCCAAAAAATCCCAAAAAAATCCCCAAAAAATCCAAAAAAAATCCCCAAAAAATCAAAACAATCCCAAAAAATCCCCAACCCCTCCCCCACTCCGGAATTCCCGGAATTCCCGGAATTCCCACCTCCGTCTCCGAAGCTCTCCCGGTGCAGCTCGTCCCATCCCACGGCGCCGTCGCCGTCCAGATCCAGCCGGGATCTCTCGATCCTCAGCGATTCCTCCCGGGATCCGCGGTGCCTCCGAAGGATCCAGGCCCGCAGCTCCTCCCCAGAGACCCCCCCGGAGCTGTCCGAGTCCATCAGATCCACCAGGAGCCTGGGAATGGGGAAAAAAATCGGGATTTGGGAGCTGAAATTCCCAAAATTCCGAGGGAAACTGAGGCGGGATTGAGGAGGTTTCAAAAAGTCCCAAAATCGGGAGGAATTCACCCAAAATCTTTCAGAATTCCCTCAAAATCTTTCAGAATTCCCACCCAAGTTCCTTCAATTCCATCAGGATTTCGGGAAAATCGGGATTTGGGAGCTGAAATTCCCAAAATTCCGAGGGAAACTGAGGCGGGATTGAGGAGGTTTCAAAAAGTCCCAAAATCGGGAGGAATTCACCCAAAATTGGGAGGAATTCACCCAAAATTCCCATCCTGGACCCCCCCTGGATTCATCTGTGTCCATCAGATCCACCAGGAGCCTGGGAATGGGGAAAAAAATCGGGATTTGGGAGCTGAAATTCCCAAAATTCCGAGGGAAACTGAGGCGGGATTGAGGAGGTTTCAAAAAGTCTCAAAATCCGGAGGAATTCACCCAAAATTGGGAGGAATTCACCCAAAATTGGGAGGAATTCACCCAAAATCTTTCAGAATTCCCTCAAAATCTTTCAGAATTCCCACCCAAGTTCCTTCAATTCCATCAGGATTTCGGGAAAATCGGGATTTGGGAGCTGAAATTCCCAAAATTCCGAGGGAAACTGAGGCGGGATTGAGGAGGTTTCAAAATTGACCCAAAATCGGGAGGAATTCACCCAAAATCTTTCGGAATTCCCTCAAAATCTTTTCCAGATTTTTTTCGGGGAATTTTGGGTGAATTTTTGGGGAAATTTTGGGGAATTTTGGGGGAATTTTTCCCTATTTTTGGGGGATATTTTGGGGGAATTTTGTGGGAATTTTGGGTGATTTTTGCAGGAATTTTGGGTGAATTTTTCCAGATTTTTTTGTGGGAATTTTGGGAGATTTTTGTGGGAATTTTGGGTGATTTTTCGTGGGAATTTTGGGTGAATTTTTCCAGATTTTTTGTGGGAATTTTGGGTGATTTTTGTGGGAATTTTGGATGAATTTTGGGTGATTTTTGGGTGAATTTTGGGTGATTTTTGTGGGAATTTTGGGTGATTTTTGTGGGAATTTTGGGTGAATTTTTGTGGGAATTTTGGCTGATTTTTTCCCTATTTTTGGAGGATATTTTGGGTGAAATTTGGGTGAATTTTGTGGGAATTTTGGCCGATTTTTTGCAGGATTTTTGTGCGAATTTTCACGGAACCTCAGGGGATTTTTGTGGAATTTTTTGTGCAATATTTTTGGGAATTTTTTGTGGGAATCTTTTGGGGGAATTCTTTGAGGATCTCACCCCAGCCGTCTCCGGGATTCTTCGGGGGGCAGCTCCCGCTGTTCCTGCGCCTCCTGCGCCCCCCAAATGGCGGCGTGATCCCAAAAAAGCCCCTCGGAATCGTGGCTGTGGGGCTGGGGGGGGTCCCCAAAACGGGGCTGGGGGGCCTGGGGGGACCCCCCAGAGGTCAGAGCCAGGAGGGGCCACAGCGGCCACAGCCAGGCCGGCGGCATCTGCGGGGAAAAAAGGTCAAAAACGAGCCCAAAATGGCCTGAAATAGCCCTAAAACCAGCCCAAATGGCCTGAAATGAGCCAAAAATGGAGAAAAATGGCCCAAAAACCAGCCCAAATGGACTGAAATGAGCCCAAAATCACCCCAAATGGCCAAAAATGAGCCCAAAATGGAGAGGAATGGCCTTAAAACCACCCCAAATGGCCTGAAATGACCCAAAATAACCCTAAAATTACCCCAAATGGACCGAAATGAGTCCAAAATGCCCCAAAAACCACCTGAAATGGCCTGGGACCCTCAAGACCTCCTCAAAATCTCCCTCAGAACCCCCCAAACTCCCTCAAAACTCCACCAAAACCCCTCAAAACTCCCCCAAATTCTCCTCAGAACCCCTCAAACACCTCAGGACCCTTCAGGGCCCTCAAGACCCCCTCAAAATCGCCCCCAAACCCCCCTCAAACTCCACCAAAACCCCCCAAAACTCCCCCAAATTCTCCTCAGAACCCCCCCAAATCCCTCATGACCCCTCAGGGCCCTCACGACCCCCTCAAAAATCTCACCCAGAACCCCTCAAACCCCCTCAAAACTCCACCAAAACCCCCCAAATTCTTCTCAGAACCCCCCAAACACCTCAGGACCCTCAAGACCCCCTCAAAATCCCCCTCTAAACCTCTCAAACCCCCTCAAAACTCCACCAAACCCCCCCCAAATTTCTCCTCAGAACCCCCCAAACACCTCAGGACCCTTCAGGGCCCTCAAGACCCCCTCAAAAATCTCACCCAGAACCCCCCAAACCCCCTTCAAACTCCACCAAAACCCCCCAAAACTCCCACAAATCCTCCTCAAATCCCTCGGAGCCTTCGGAACCCTCAGGACCCCCCCAAAATCCCCCTCAGGACCCCCCAAAATTCTCCCCCCCCCCCCGCTCACCTCGTCCCGTCCTGCCCCAACACCGGGGGGGGTCCCACGGCCCCTCACAGCTTTGGCCCCGCCCCCTTGGGCGTCTCGACCAATCAGCGACGGCCGAGCCCACGTGAGGCGGGGAGAGCTGCTCTCCCATTGGCTGAGGCGCGCCACGTCCGCGCGCCGGACCCGAAAAGCCGCTTTTTTAACCCAAAGTGAGCGGGGAGGAGGGGGGCGGGAGCGAGGCCGGGAACTGGGATATACTGGGATGTACTGGGATATATCGGGATATATCGGGATATACTGGGTTATAGTGGCATTTACTGGGATATATTGGGGTATAGTGGGATTTACTGGGATATTTTGGGATATATTGGGATTTACCGGGATATACTGGGATATACTGGGATATTTTGGGATATTCTGTAATGTACTGGGATATACCGCGATATACTGGGGTATGTCGGGATATAGTGGGATTTACTGGGATATTTTGGGATATAGTGAGATATTTTAGAATATACTGGAATGTACTGGGATATACTAGGATGTAGTGGAACATACTGGCATATATTAGGATATGCTGGGTTATACTGGGATATTTTGGGATATACTGGAATGTATTGGGATATACTGGGATATATTGGGTCAAAGCAGGTTATACTGGTTTGGGCTGGGATATACCAGGACAAACTGGTTTATACTGGGACAAACTGGTTTATACTGGGATAAACTGGCTTATATCGGCAGCCTGGACTGGGATGAAGGAGGATATATTACGTGAAACTGGTTTATACTGGTCTGGATTGGGGTTAAACTGGAAACGTGAGGGGGGAAAAGGGCGGGAAAACGTGAGGGGGGGGAAAGGGGCGGGAAAACGTGAGGGGAGAAAAGGGCGGGAATCGTGAGGGGAGAAAATGGGGAAAATGGGGTGAAAATGGGCAAAATGCGCATCCCAAAGTGTGACACCACCCATAAAACGCACCCAAATTCTCATTTTGGAAAGGGCTCAGGAGTTTGTTGAGTCTCCTCCTTGCCCGTGGAAGAATAAATCCCAACTCCTCTTTTTTTCCTTCCATCTGAGCCTTTTTCCTGGGAGCTCTGTGCCCAAATTATCCTAAGAAATGACGTATTTAATTGAATTACGCACCTTTTCTTGCAGATTTTGGGAGGAGTTTTTCCCAGTTCTCCCAACTCGTATTTTCATGGATTTAAAAGCCAGGAGACCCGGCCAGAATCTCCTCAGCAATTCAGAATTCCCCCGGATGAGGTTTGGCTCCTCCTGGGCTCCCAAACATGGAATTAATCCAAATTTCCTTCCCTTTTGGGAAAAAAAATGGTTTTAATTCCAGTTTACAGTCGTTAAACTCCACCCAAAAACCCCCAAAATTGCCCCAAAATCCTTGAAAACCACCAAAAACACCCCACAAAAAAGCCCGAATATCACCCAAAAAAATCCCCAAAAGTCACCCCAAAATCATCTGGAATCGACTCGAGCATCCCAAAAAGCTCCCAAAATCAGCCCAAAAATCTCAAAAAAAACCCCAAATCTCCCCAAAATTCCTGAAAATCGCCAAGAAAAAAAGCCCCAAAAAACCCACGGAACTCCCACAAAGTGGGGCTGGGGGGGGTCAGGGAGGATTTTTGGGGGATCAATATCAGCTCGGGGGGGTCAATGACGATTTTTGGGGGGTCGATATCAGCTCGGGGGGGGCAGTGACGATTTTTGGGGGGTCGATATCAGCTCGGGGGGGCTCGTTCCCAG